GGAATTTTGAGGTGAGCGAAGTTCTACATTTGCTCTATCTTTATGATATTGAGCACTCTTTGCGTTTCGTATTCATAAACCTACTCGTATATATATATATATATATATATATATATATATATATATATATATATATATATATATATATATATATATATATATATATATATATAATTCTTTAATCTTAAAATATATTTGTCGCTACACTGTGTTTCACGCTTCTTTCGAAGCGATCTTCAGGCGAATAAAGTTGATTCAATGACGTGCTCTAAACTAACGGTTTGCTGACGCATCTCGCGTGCGTTCAAATTTGCGCGCGCTAAAACTATTTCTATGACAGCATTTCGCGAATATTTCTGAGCGTTTATTCAATATCCTGCTTTTGTCAGCTTCCAGTAAGCAAACCTTCTCTTCAAGGCACAGATTGCATCTTGCTGCACCAGCCGTATACGCACGGGCACGCTTTAGTATGCTCCATTTGATGTTGTGTTGCTTCCCGCTATTCTTGAGTTTCCACGCATACTTTGATAACTCTGTTTCCGCAGAATACCGAGGAACAGTTAGTGATTTTTTATGGTTGGCATGCCTTTCTTGAACGTCCCCGCCGTCATTCCAATGTACTCCTTCGTTTCTTCGCCGTCACTTGTCGAGATTTCAGCCTTGTATACAACACTTGTTGATAAACATTTATTGTCAATTGGACATTTGTTTTTATCATGACAGTTGCACATTTCTTTACTTTCTGGCTGGTTGCTTTTTCCAAGCAGGTGTTGATTGCGGTTGGAGATAACGCTCTTGATGTTGCTCATGCACAAGTAGCTCACTTTTACGCTGTTTCTATTGAAGATCTTGTGGAGGCGAGATGTTTTGGGGAAATGCTTGTCAATTAGTTGACGGAAGTTACGTGCAATGTTTGTTTTAACATTCTTGCTGAAGGGAGGGTTGAACCATATATATATATATATATATATATATATATATATATATATATATATATATATATATATATATATATATATATATATATATATATATATATATATATATATATATATATATATATATATGTATGTATGTATATATATGTATGTATATATATATATATATATATATATATATATATATATATATATATATATATATATATATATATATATATATATATATATATATATATGTATATGTATTAGAGTAAAATTACAAAATTTGGTTGCGAAATGTTGTAAAATGTGGAAAATATAGCCTTGCAAAGTTTGCAAATTTTGTATACTTTTGTATTGCGTGCGATATTTTCGGCCTAAATGGGACAGGAATGCATGTGGTAGGAATTTCCGCAAGCAATACAAAAGTATACAAAATTTGCAACCTTTGCAAGGCTATATTTTCCACAGTTTACAGCATTTCGCAACCAAACTTTGTAATTTTACTAATTTTAGTATGCTCTTTCTAGCTGTGGTGATTTATTTGAGTTTCCTTACCTAATTTTAAAATTAGTCTATATGGGAATTGTCTATTAAGTTTACATATATTATTATACGAAACTGGAATTTGGCATTGACATGCAGCTAGAATTTGATGTAATTGTCGAAAATCTGTCGTTGCAAAACTTCCTCTTTTGCATACTGTAATCAATGACGTCAAAGAAATTCAACTAAGGGGCAATTATCAGAGAAGTAATTATCACCTACTTTAATAGACCTTTTTAAAAAGTCTGGCTAGTTGTGACGTATAGTTTGCGGACAAATACGATCATTTGGCCAATCAGGCAAGCCAAATCATCGCTGTGCGGGTTTTCTTTATCCGCAAACTACGTCACAAGGCAGACGTTTTAAAAATATTTTATTATCATATGCATGTGAAAAACATACTGCCACTTATGTTCTCAAATCTAAGGTATATATACCGTAGAAAAAGTACACAATGACAGCACGAAATGTTCTTGTGTATACAGCTAGCTCAATTATCTGAGAAGGACACCACACGGTCCACACCTAATTAATTATAATGACAATCGTCCATACCAGGCATTCTTTGAAGGCCAACTTAACAAAAAATGTCCTCCATTATAAAAGTCTTTATACAAAATATATTATAAAAGCAGTGGATAAAACTTGTTGGGTATTCAGAACAGATCATTGTTCGTCCATGCATATGCTAGTTACTAAATTAGAAAGCTATTGGCGAAAACGCAAGAGTAAACCAGGTATGGCTTTTTACTGTGTGTAGTAGTGTCTTTTGATGTTAATTAAATGCTTTTAAAGTATGTGATTTTAAGAGCACGGCTGCATGGGAAAGTAGAAGTTTGTATAGCTGATATGTGAGAAGTTGCTTGTTATACTATATTGAAAGAATTAAAAGGATTTTATCGTAAAGTTTTAGTAAGTTATTGAGCAGCGTTTCGTTATAACGGCTACGGCTGGAAACGAATTAATTATATACGTTCTGTATTCGCGACTCTACATTATAGCACAACGGATTGACAAAACTAGTGGGTCAGCTGTTGATTCTCTAAAACAAGGATTGTAATATAATCATTTCAATTAATGCTGCATGTCGTCAGGGGAGAAACTTGAGGGGGGGGACCCCCCAAAATAAAACGAAAGAGCTGTTGTTTAGCTTTTCTATGATACCTTGCTAGCGTGATAAACAGACACCTATATTATTGCTCTAATACCTTTCTTAAACCGTAACGATGAGAAATGACCATATACTCGACAAATAAAAATTGTCCGTCAAAATCACATGCATTCTTAATTTGACAGACATTACATTTCTTTTTTCCCCATGATGATTGGGTTGACAAGAATGTTGTCGTCATGCATAAAATTAATGTGACACCTATATAGCTTATTATTAGCATGACAAAATTACTGGATGCTGATTGGTTGAGAGGAGTACAATTAATTCATTAATTGTACTGCAGTACAATTAATAATTTTCCCGAAACAAACAAAATGGCGGAAACGTATTTTAAACACAAGCGTGAAATGAAATTGCCGTGGAGGAACTAGATAAAAATACGAACAAAAGCACCAAATTTTGCTTTAACAAAAGAACTAAATGAAAATACAAACAAAAGCACCAAATTTTGGTTGACAGTCTGGCAGGACTGGGCTTTGGCAAGAGAATATGATGTTGACATTGAGAAGTATCCAATTTTGTCATGCTAATAATAAACAAGTAATCATGCGATGTTGCTCGTACAATTAAGGATTAATAGTACTCGTGATGTTTGGAAATTTACAAAATTGGACTCGCCCCGGCGGCTCGTCCAATTTTGGCAAAATTTCCAAACATCACTCGTACTATTAATCCCGAATTGTACTCGCCATCGCATGATTACCTATACAAATTCATGGATGTCCGTTACTACATGGTTAATTAATTAAGTAAGCTGATGTATCATTACTCCAAATAAAATGACTTCTAGCTTCATTCCTTGTGGAATTACTCCCTTAACTGTTCTCCATTCAGACGTAGTATCTCGACTCCAATTTTACAGCTTGTTGTCGATTAGTTAAAAATGCCGCGATCCATCTAATGAGCCCAGAGGAAACACTCAACTTTTCCAACTCACGTAGTAAAATGTTATGATCGATCAAATCTTTTAATAGAGAAGTCCGCAAAGAAGAGTCGGGCAGCTGTATTTCCAAGATCAACTGCCTCAAATATAGCCTAGCTTGCAGTAAATATACGGTTGTTGAGTGTCCTTTCTGTGTGTCAATAATTGCCATACATCAATCTTGTTCATATTCAATTCTAGAAATAATTTTGCGATGGTGAAACTTTCCATGATCTTAGCCAAGGTACAATTAAGCGAGATAGGTCTTAAGTTGCTGGAAATCTTCTTCGGGGGAGGGGGGCACTTTGGGGATAGGGTTGACAATGGAAAACTTTGGAGGCAATGGGATATTTCCGTCTTTTAGGAAATGGTTGTAGATCTTGTATAACCGGAGCAAGCTCAAAGGCGAAATCTTTCAACAGCTTATTTGGGATATTGTCTGGCCCAACAGCCTTGCTAGTTTTTATTGAGGATAATTAACAATTAGACGACGAGGTCGAGTTGTCTATGAGCGAATAGTTAACGAGGCGAAGCCGAGTTGACTATTTGCTCATAGACAACGAGGCCGAGTTGTCTAATTGTTTTAGTATAAACTTTAACATTAATTTACAACTAGCCTGCAAACACAATACAAAAATACACAAAAAAACATTATAAAACCATTAAAGGTAAACAAATATTTTAGTTTTTGTTCGCGTAAAATGTTTTACAAAATTCAGTTTTAATTTTAAAATTTCATTGAGTGTATGTTATTTTGTCTATTTTCTTACCCTTAAAAATTGCCATTCCATATTTTTGTTGCTTTTTTCGGGGGTTTTTAGTACAGAATTGTTCAACAAGTCGTCCAAAAAATCATCAGACACTTCGGCAAAAGTGCAAAACGCAAATTTTCCGCCATTTTGAATTTTCTACTAGTAGGCTATCACTAATAGCCTACTAGTAGCGTAGCCAATCAGAAGGCACGAAATGTGATAGCCTACTAGTAGGTTTATACTAATGAGTGATAGACTTCATGTTGTGTTACTAATAAATCCTCTGGAATGTTACGTGGTGGACCACAAGGTGGTTGGAAGTCGTTTGTATAGTCAACGAAGATGTCATTTATATTGTTTGACGTCCATATACTCTTCGAGGAATTGATTATGCCACTGCTGTTTTATATCCTGACCAGAAAGTCGTTTTATTTCTCTCCACCATTTGCTGGAATTTGTATTTTCCGGCTTATATAGAGACTCGATTGTTATAATAGTGATGTTTGGTTATTTTTATTTCACATTGCACTTTATTTCTTCAAAACCTAAAACTTATAGCGAATCTTTCCCGTGCCGAATAAACGCAATTTGTCGTTTTGTAGATAGTTATTACTTAATTATTATACTTGCTCGTCTGAATAATAATGTATTTTACCTTTAATTTTTTAGTTCTGATAATTAAGTTTGTTGAATATTAAGTCAAGAAAGTCATGGTGCAGAGTGCAAAACTCGCAGTTATTCTAGTTGTTTTGGTGCTGATTCAATGCACATTCGTGGATGGATGGTGGCGGCGTCGATATAGAAGAAAATATCGTACTCCTGTTCCTACTTCTAGTACATATCGCTGCAGGAACCGTCGCTCAATATACGGTATGTCTGGTACTGTATACAATAGAAATATGTAGTGCGAGTTTGCACATGTGTACGATATGTGTACGATCAATATTTTGTTATCAGCCAATCAGCTCAATCAATATTTTGTTAATGTAGGCCCAAATCTTACAACTTCAATCATGACTCCTAACCTTCAACCAATAAGTTACATTAGTGATCATTAGTAATGCCGTAGTACCTAGTTTTTTTCTGTCCCATGGCCAATTACGAAGACTCAACTACTCAATCTTTTCTTAGGCCTAGATAGTAATAAATATCTCATAATGATATATCTAATAATAAGTTAAAAATAGCAGCATATGAATTTTGCCAATTTTTACCTATATCTTTCATCAATCATTTCCACAGGCGTTGTTCCTAACATCTTATAAAAATTCTAGAATTACGCCTGACACAAATGAGTCATACAATTATCGACCAATATCAATACTCTGTCTATCTGTCTTTTCAAAAGTCTTAGAACAACTTGAAAAGTATAATTTCATGTACAATTATCAATTTGGATCCAGGAAAAAGGTTCAACAGAGCAAGCAATTCTCGAACTTACTAATAAACTAAAATCTGCGAAAAACAATTAACGTGCGGTCTATTTTTAGATTTTTCAAAAGTCTTTGATACCGTTAATCACAAAATCCTTTTAGAAACGTTGAAAAAATAGGGAATAGGAGATGTTCCACTCAAATGGTTCACAAGTTATGTTATCTAACTAATCGCCAAGCACAGATTCTGAAATATTAAGAGTGACTAGCTTGTGAAGTTCCACAAGGATCAACACTTGGACCGTTATTGTTCTTGCTGTATATAAATAATATGCCTAACTGTTCAAAAAAGCCGTATCCTTCCGAATATTTGGTGTTAGTACTTTTGCACAAATGAACATAACAAATCCTTCACGTTGATTGGTCAAATTTGACGTATTAAGCAGTTATATTCACCTACAGGTGAATATAACAAAACCGAAATTTTCAAAATGGCGGCTAGCTGTTTTGTGAAAGTTAGTGATAAAGATATAAGCGAAATTAAAATATATATTAAGTCCCAAAAATACAAAAGACTTGTGTAAAAATACTAAACTTTCGTCTCGGCGAATATTCCCCGATAATCACAGAGCCTGAGGCGAATAATTGTTAAATGACACTAATGTTTTTAACTCAGGTAAATCAGTTAGTAAAATTGAAATGGGAAGGAATGAGGAAATTAAAAAAATTATAACTAACTGCTACTAAGAAACTTTCAATAACTTTAAAAAAACGAACTTTATGATTATTGGTTCAAAACAGAAAAAGATCGGAATATATAATTTAGATTGGAAACTAGAACGAACACAATACATAAAATACTTAGGTATGTACATTGACAGACACATTACTTGGGAACAACCAATCAAACACGTGAAGGCCAAAATTGCTATAAATACTGGTATTATAAACAAATTAAGATATCACCTTGATTTAACAGAACATTTCTTGATTTTTAGAGCAAGAGGAGCAGGACTCAAAAACCAAAACAGGAATAAAAGGTAACACTGAAATTTCTAAATGACATATATATACATATATTATTCAGCTCATTCTCCAACTTGGTTTTTTAGTGACCGAGAAGATCAAGTAATACGCTTACGTGTATTACTTACGCGACTGTTATTTTCAGGGAGTTAAAATAACTCCGGAAAAGAGGGTTAGCAAAAAAGGTTCAAAATAATCCGTTTTTGGGGGTTACAAATAACTCCATTTCTGGGGTTAAAATGTAACTCCACTTTTGGGGGTTAATCTAACTCTCATATTGGAGTTAAAATCTAACCCCTATACAGGGGTTACATAATTTTAACTCCGTTTCAGGAGTTAAACCGGTACTCTTGAAGACGTTTCCTCATCTTTTTAATTATTTTTACACATTTTTAATGTTATGAAAACCAAAACAATGAAAAAACATCACTTAGTTTTCATAACATTAAAATTGCGTAGAAATAATTTAAAAATGAGGGAAAATCTTCCGAGAGCGTTAGTTTACGGAACGCTTTCTAACTACTTAATGCAACTTACCTCGTAAAACGGGGAAGTATCGAGAAACCTACCAATCAGTCTAATTATACTATTCAATTGCTTCATCTAATCCAAAAAGTACGCGAGAAAGTTTTCTGTGAAATATATTTTATACAAACTAGCCATGTATTTCTAGAATTAAAGCTCTACAACTTGATTTCAAACCATGCATCATTGACACATTAAGTTACTGTCAAATTTAAATGTTCACAACTGAATTCATATACATTTGTCAAAGACAACAAGTACTATCACAATGGTAAAACTTCAGTAAATGTGTTTACAGTACAGTACAGTACAGTACAGTACAGTACAGTACAGTACAGTACAGTACAGTACAGTACAGTACCTGATTATAGTAACCGACGAAGCAAGATATTTCCTAATCTTGCATGAAATTGAATTAATAATTTCATCTGAAATTAACTCATTAATGGAATAATGCCCAACATTTCCCCCTTGACAAGTAAATTTTCTTGTATATAGACACAGTAAACTGACAAAGTATTGTAGATCACATTAAGACATGATATGCATTATAGCCTTATGGACTGAAATTTGCCCTGGATTTTTCAAATTGAAAATTAGGAATTATGTTGTTTTGTTAGCCCATTTATACAGGCAAGGTGCTCTGTTTATTACTACCTGTATGGCAATAATACTTGATTGCCTCACACCACAAATTTTACTTGTCAAAGAGAGGCAGCTTGGCATGTACAATGAGACAAGGATATAGGTAAAAAAGAAAGACTGTATTAAATTAATCAATACACAGTAAATCCCCTTGCTAAAGAAATATGTTGCATGTTGATGTAGGCAGCAAATTAATTAATAAAGTGCCTGTAATTACTTTCGTCCTGAATCTGTTGATGGTGACTCTTTTTCGATCAATATACATGTAAGAATCAATTGGATTGCTCAAGAGAGTTTCTTTGATGAATTCATTTATACAGCATGACATAGTTGACACTTATCGACATCGAACCAAATCAATATCTTGATGTAAGACAATCGGTTTCAAATGGCCAGTTATAGATATCATCATGACCATATCCAGGCTATGATTCTTTTCCATCTGAAGTGTTTTGGCATGCTAGTACCAACCTACAATATTAAATAATAAGCATTTACCACATGACAAATGTGAAGCTTGTACTACATCTAAGACACATTTTACTATTGGTTTTCAAAGTTGTGACTTCAAAAAACTTGAGTAATCATAGCTGCAAAAACCTGGCAATGTTCATAGAGGAACTAATTTCATATTATAATATTTATATCAAACTAGTTTTCCATGGTTCTGAAATGGAATTCATTGAGGAAGCCATTGTCAGTTGCCTTTGGATCCTAAAATTCTTAACACCAAATAATTGTGAGAATTTGTACCGAGGGTCTCCCAGGGCTGGTTTTAGGGAACCAGGGAACAATGCATATTTTGCAATCAGAATTCAAAGCAAAAAATGATAGAAAACAAGGGACCATAAAGTTTGGAAAACAAGTAAACATGGTGAAATCTTTGTGGGGAAAAAGGAAAAATTTGCAAGGGAATACATATCCCTCATATGATGCCCTAGCTCTTGTACTCTACAGTGAATTAAAAATATTAGTTTTTGCACCTTAATTTATATTTGAAGCTTGAGCCATCACTGGTGCTGCAAAGAAAGCCATGACCAATTCTTCTTCAATATGCCTACTGAATAATATAAAAAAACTTATATCAGATTCTAAAAACATAAAACCTTCGTCACGTTTCAAAGGTTGCCCTCTTTTGACTATAAATGTATCGCATTTTATAAATTTTATACACAAACAGAAGCTAATTTTTATGAAAAACCGGACAGATCTCGTCCTGATTTATTTGACTTTGGGGTAAACTGCTATTTTAATACTTGGACTCTTGGTCTTTCATGAACCGTCTTTCTCAAGAAAGGCGGCCTTCCTTCTGGAAAAAACTCGCCTGGCACATGATGTAAAATTTGCTGAAGGTCCATTTCAGTGTTACACGAAAGAAATACTATTTCAATCTGCACTAGAAGTATTTTATATGTTGACAGCCTGGACAGTCGCCGTGTGTTTAGCCTGTTTGAACGCGAAACCACCACAGGCTTGTTTGTAGGAAAATTGAATGCAATATACCAAAAATATAACATAAAAGTCCATAAGACACAACCTTACCTTCAAATATATATTCTAAACCAGTACACCGGTACTCTTCTGGCATTTTTCTGTAAAAATATCCAAGTTTAATCAAGAAAATTTTGTGCTAAAACCTGAAGTACAAAATCTCAACAAATAAATGAAGAAAAGAGCGGGAAAATAATTATCCCGGTCGGGAAATTGAACTCTTGTTGATTACTGGATGCTAATTGGACAGATTCCTAACTAACTACCGGGGAAAATTTCCCTCGGCACTTTGCGTTAGTGATGGGCGATACCAGGATTTTTAATTCGATACCGATACCGATACTTTTAAGATCGGTATCGGCCGATACCGATACCTATTTCGATACCAAAATGAGCATAAAATTTCAATTTTCGATACCGGAAGTGAGTACTTAAATTTCTAGTATCGGCTATTTTAAATACCTGCCAGTCAGCGGAAAAACATTTTACATTACTGTATGTAACAAATGTATGTAACCTAAATAAAGCTATAAGTAAACCAAAAGCCCGAAACGTAATAAATATTTTTTATACATGAGTTGGCGCACCACACTTGGAAATTTGGAATATTAAGAGTTATTTTAGTGGTTTTTTAAGTCTTATTCAACCAAGAAGTGAAATTAAACAAGTCGTTTAAAAAAGGGTGCAAGTATCGAACGATACCACGTCAGTAATCGATACCGATACCGCTGTTTGTGGTATCGCTGGTATCGAATACCGAGTACTCGGTATCGCCCATCACTACTTTGCGTCTCCTTGGCAAATGTAAACAACAAAAAGATTTGTAGATTTCATATATTTTTTGATATGTCCGTGTACGGAGAAATATGCAGCAAGTTGGACAAAAAATCGCACTTCGAGAAGCAAGATGATAATCTATCTGAAAGTAAGTACTCTCGATATAATAGGCTCTTTTGATAATGGGCCCTATTGACTACCCATTGTATTAAAGCTTTTTGCTTTTATGTTTAAAGTATAGATGGTTCCATAGTTGCAATTACTATACTATACTGTTCTATTATAGTGTACTGCCTGCTACTCTTCTAGAAAAAACTGCACTGTGCAGTGCCTTACAACAGTGCCTTACTGTAATGTGTAGTACATACTATATGTCTATATTGACTGGTTGGTTCCATACTTTTAATATTGTGTTCTGCCATACAGTACTGTGTGGTGCTGTATTTATACTATACTGTGGTGCCATGCATACTACATTGTGGTGTTGCTCTATACTGTATTGTGTGATTCTGTATTCTTCTGTGTTGTGGTGCCTTCTGTGTGAGCCATACTATACTAGAGCTAGCATGCTTCGCTCTGCAGTACACAGCCCAAGACAGACCAGTATATGGCAGAGTAGTGTCATACATTATGTACAGTACACTATAAAACAAAGTATGGCATGCCATGCTCTAGTATATAGTATGGCTCACACAGAAGGCACCACAACACAGAAGAAAATACGATGGCACAATACAGTATAGATCAGCAAAATAATATAGTATGCATGGCATCACAGTATAGTATATAATATAACAGTACAGTACAGTACAGTACAGTACAGTACAGTATGACAAAACACAATTAATATCAAAAGTATGGAACCAACCAGTACAATTTATAGATATACGACAGTATGTACTATACACTACAGTAATGTACTGCACAGGGCATATAATATTGCTGGGCCATGCTTTACTGTGTGGAATGTTGTACATACTGTACTGTGGTGCCATACATGCTATATTGGGGTCTTGTAGATGGAAATTATCAAGTGGAAATTTTTACACATTTATTAGACCTAACCAGGAACAGCTGCAAAAAATGCAACTATATAGGTCCCTGGCAGGAATATATAATTATATATACCTACAGTACCATTCTGTATTCTTTATATGTGTTGTGGACATGGTGTTATATGCTTAGCCGACGGTGCTTCTATCTGCTATATGTAGTGCTTTTCTGTCTTGAGCGGTGTGGTATATTCCATTCAATTATATCCAATATATTATGTTATTAATTTTTCTATGCTTTGTTGTGCCATAATACCCCACTATATAGTGTGCTACACTGTGCTATAGTGTATGCTGTATTAATTGCACTATATTAAACTGTTCTATACCATACAAGTATGTGCTAAGCTGTGTTGTATTGTATTCTGTTGTGTCATACTCCTGCTGTGCTGTGGTATGTAGTGCCATATTGCACTATATTGTGCTGTACTGTGATACGTACACTGTTCTGAATATGCTTTACTGTTTTTACTGCACTACTGCACCATACTGTGTGTATACCACACTTTACCATATATCTTAATGTGTTGAGCTGTCTCATATTGTATTGTTGTGCCACACCGTACTCTACTGTTCAAGTGCCATACAGTGATTATATGCTGTACGGTACTATGCAGTGCCTTTACTATACTAGCTATATTACTACACTACATTGTGAATATGGTGTCGCACTATTCTGTATTGTTTACTTTTTTGTATGGCACCACTATGTGATATACCGCACTGTGCCATATACCCACTGTGCTATTATCTGTGTCATATTGATTTGTACTGTGCTGTTGTGTACTCAGTTATGCTGTACAGTACAGTACAGTACAGTACTGTACAGTACAGTACTGTTCTGTTCTGTGCCAAATGGCTGACAGTGTATTATCATTCTTGTGATGTGTTGCACTATGCTGTGCCATATTAACACTACAGTACATAGGTTGGACTGGGCTGTGGTAAACTTTTTTTGGCCCATGACGCCCTACTTTAGTATTTTACTTTGTATAATCCCAGACGATTTTACTAATTCTCAAGGCCGAGAGGGTATTGCACATAGCTCAAACAATCACCTCAAACTGTATTGTGCTGCACTGAATTGTTATGTGTTATAAACTTTGCTGTATTTCACTGCATGTGCTACCGTAATCTGAACCATATGGGAAATTGTGCTGTACTGTCCTTTGATGTACTGCATTCTCAGGAATATAATTGTACTGTAATGTACTGTGCTATGCAAAATTGTAATATATTTTGTTGCACTGTAATGAAATTTACTGTATTTTGTGTTGTCATAGCTATCATGTCTTGTTTTAACTAATCAATAGTGCATTGTATTGTACTGTATGACAAGGTACAATGTAATTGCTATGTTTAAATTTAATGTAATAAAACACATCACAACAGAATATTAAAAATAAGTTGTAATAAAACACTGCATCATTGAGCTGCTGTGACCAAGAATGTCACTCCTCTCATTTGAATATTTATATTAAACACGAAATAAAACATGTTCTCTTACCTGAAACATGAATAATGTAGTTCTTGTTTCCCTTTTGTATACGTTGTCACGTTTTTTTTCTTGAGTGCAGTTGAAAGGAAAGCAATCTGAGCGAGTTAAAACTATTAAAAATAGCCGAAAACACGACGCCATTTTGCTTCCAGGCTCCTATAACAAATAACTCCAATAAAGGGTGTTATATTTGAATAACTCAACTAACTAGTTTGCCAGTATCCTCTAACTCCTCAAAAAGAGTTATTATAACTCCTGATATGGGGTTAACATAGCCCTAAAATTTTAACTCCACCAAAAAGGAGTAATAGGGGAGTTACTTTAACTCCCTGGAAATCTGTTACTCCTCTCACAGAGTTATTTTAACTCCAAATTTGGAGTTAAACTAACCTTAAAATTTTAACTCCACCAAAAAGGAGTAATAGGGGAGTTATTTTAACTCCCTGAAAATAACAGTGCGCGTGTATTAGTTAGTTAGCCTAGACTAATTATCTTTACAACAACTGTGATATTACTTTCCTAACTATGTTTATCCAAATCCACGCTGCCAACTTTCCCTGTGGAAGGAACCGGAGCGCCTGGAGAAATACCACGACTTTCGGCAATGACTTTCTTGTTGACGGACTTTTTTCGCATGGGCGCGTAGCGAAAATCGAACCCACGTTCTCAGAGGTGAAGGGCATGCTTGCTCTGACAACTGCGCTACCGAAGCCCCATATCCCTCGTTTTCTTATATTTTATTATACAACAGGTTTTAGAGCTATTAATAAGTCTATTATTATCAGGTTAGGTGTTAGCATGACCAGGGGTCATCCTAAGAAAAATTTAGAACTGCCCATTTCGACAAGAGCAGAGGTAGTGAACACAAGCTAACTGTGTGGCAGTAATGAGAGAGGAGGTCATGGCGTACTGGATTCCTGAGTAGCTAGGAGGGTCCTGGGGCATGTTCCATCGGAAAATTTTGGATTTTACAAGTCCAGATTGGCCATTTCATGCATTTTCAGAGTGATATTTGATTTTGTTTTTGCCTTAAATATCTGTATGGGCGCTTAGTTTATAACTAATTTTCATATAAAGCTTGAAAACTCGATTTTAGAACTGCCCATTTCAAGTTTAAGAACTACCCATTTTACATTTAGAACTACCCATTTTGGAAAATGGTAGGCCTTAGGATGACCCCTGAGCAGGACTGTATTTTACTTTTCGAAAATGATAACCGAATTTTTTTCCGTGTTATTCCGGCATATTCTGTGATATTCCAGCGTTCCGGGTTTTCAGAACGCCCAGGACATTAACCAATAAAATTGGATATTATAATTATATCCCATTTTGTTATATGTCTTATAGAACAGGCTCCAGAGCTATGATGCATGCAGTTATTATCAGGCTGGGGGTTTGCATGAGTGTATTTTTAGTTAATTTAATAATTCCAAAATGTTTTTGAGGAGTTCCTGCACTTCTTTTGCAATTTAACATGATACAAATTCTTGTTGCAGGCCAAGGGAAGTCCAAACGAGGTTTAGCTGAAGCGATCCCAATAATAGAGCTAGGTCTTAATGTCTTGACGAAAGTCCTAGACACTCTTGGTAATATTGAGAGAAAGATTGCAATTGGTATTGGTAATGATACGCCATTCGCGTGGAAAGCTGATGGAGTATATTTCCGTTCTGGTACATCTGATGACGTTCTTCCAGCTTGTTTGAGTTCAAAAGAAGCCGCCGTCTTCCCAGCGAGGAAAACCTCCGGTCCTGTTGCAACTGGGGCAGTAGGTGTACTTTGCTATTACATCCCTGATAAGAAAAAGTCCTTGTGTGTTTTGTTCAGTGTACCATTTGATTACAATTTGTACTCCAATTGGTGGGACGTGAAGGTGTTCTCTGGTAAAAAATCGCCCAACCATCAGTTGTATGTAGACATGTATTATGGTGACCCATACAAAGGTGACAACAGGTGAGCTTGACGTGAATAATTCGTCGTGTGATGAATGATTTAATTAGGACTTGTTTACATGGAGGTAGGGGAACCCTGCCACTAGGATTACCCTGCCAAGAGAGTAAAAAATAGCGAGTTCTTACATGAGATAAGGTAGGGTAACCCTATCTATTCGTGGTCGCTAAGCCAGTTGTATTTAAAAATGGCGAGTATAAACGCAAAATTTTAGCGGCAAGTTGTATAATGATATGCCTTGGACCTTTGCATGCTGCATTTCGATGCTTTTGTCTTTTACTTTGTGTGCTATGGTATAAAAATGGAGAATAAAACCTGACCCGCTTGGTAGGGTAATCGCATTTGACGCGTATACACATTAAGAGGGGAAATGCCCTCTCCATTCCTCCTTCGTATCTAGTCGTTCAAATGTTTATCACATCACAAATAAGCCGACTGAACTATCTGCTGCCATATCCACTAACAAACCAAGTACAGTAAATTTGATCGTAGAATCATGCAGGCTAACAGGCGATATTCGGAACAGCGCTATAAATATTGGCGACAACTACAGTATTCTATTTTTCGTCTTTATCGACCAACTCCTGGGGTGGAATACTATAGCGTACATTCATATGTTGGTATACCAGTATCTCGCCTGTCAATCCTTGAATTAAGAAGCAGGGGAAAAGGTGCTACGGCTGCTCTTTACAGTACCTGGCAACTTACCCCGAAACCCTAAAAGTGCCATCATAGAACAGTAATGTATATGCGCTATAGAAATGTTATTATTATTATTATTATTATTATTTGGGTCGTTCTGACCATCAATGTCTGTGGCTATATCCCAAAATTGCCAACAAATAACCCCCTCCTATTTCTAAAATAGTCAGACTGCATAACCCTGGAAGCAAACAAACATCGAATAGAATTGTTGTCCTTCAAAATTGTGACAATGTTATAATGGCGACAGATGTGGACGACAAAGTGGAGATATTTAACGGAACGGTACTCTCCCTGTTAGACAAGGCTATGCCAAAAATTACAATACCTCAGATATACCTTGGATTGCCCCAGAATTAAGATACAGATCAAAGTAAGACAAAAGGCTTTCTCTCAAAGTGATAAAGTTAAGTATGACAAATTTATATGTAAAAAGGTATCAAAGCTAATTCAAAATGTAAAAGAATGTTTCTATCATACTGAAGAGAGAGATCCCCAAAGAGGGCCCGCAAAACGGAATAAAATTGTTTATACTCTGTTGGGTGCTGAGACAAAATATAACTCCTTACAAATCCCATCTGAGGAAGTCCTGGTTGAAGTTGCTGAAAACCTACAAATCGCATTTACTGACCCATGGAAAGATGTCATTATTGACCTGCCGGACACAGGGACGTCGCGAAGCCATTATTAGCGAACTTAAGCAAAGCTTAATCTAGTACGGGGACGTGTCACGAAACCTCCTTAAATTTTACACTTTTATAATTATAAAAAACTACCGTTATTAAGAACTTCAACAAAGCAGAACGAAAGTGCAACGAGAACAGCTAAAATATTATATTAATGCAAGAAAATGAGCAGAAATTGACAATTAAAATCCACGGATGTTTTAGACGTCACCGTAGCTCTGTTTTACAACGGCGAAATACAGATTATCACGTCTTGTATACATCGCTTACATTTCAAGCTGGGACAACTGCTATTTTAAATTAGGTCCTGGAACTTTCTCAATCATAAACCCAGTGTTAATCTTGATCATTAAAATGTATTATTTTCATACGATGGATAATAGACGACAGGTTTTCTTCTGCAATCATTTGGTTCAACGTGACTTTTTGCCGTCGCCGTCGCGTTCCCGTCCTACAGTACGCGCTTAAGGTCGCTAACATTTGGGGGGGGGGGGTTGTCGTCATGTTTTGACCAACATTTCCTAGGATTTTGATCAAGTTGTACAAATTTTTCCCAAAAATGTTGTCGATGGGGGAGGGGAGGTCAAAAACATTTTTCCGCACTAACATAAGCATATTCAAATTTTTCGACCAAGAAAAGCAAGGCTTTCAATTTTTTCACCGCAAACATAACCATGGATAATAAAATAAATTTATTTTATTATCCATGACATAACAAAAGCTTTAAAATTGTTAAAATTGCAAACCATTTTATAACTTCGGGCAACTTCGACCATCGTTTATCCCAAACTTTGACCAAATTTTTCCGAGTTCTACCTTCAATTTTAAGCAAATATCAGTTCCATTTTGACCAACTTTGACCAACGTTTGAATTATTGTGGGGGGGGGGGGGTGTTACACCCCCCACACACCCCTATAGCGACGTCCCTGGCCGGACATAAATGAAGTTAACCACTTACTTAAGGTTACGTCACCACCGCTACCTTCCCTCGGACAGGTACGGTCCTGCCTTATAAACACCTTAATCCAAAGAAAGCAACAGGGATAGATAAAATTCTCGCCTCGTTTTTAAAACAGTCCAGTGTTGTAGATACTCGTTACAATAGTAATTAAATTACAAATAAAACCACAGATAAAACAGTACTATTCCACGCTTGTTTACAGATAACGGACTACAGGAGTGAAGTCAAATTAGTGACTTCCCATCACGTGATCTTCGCGCGTGCTCGATAGAAACTCGTTCGTTTGCTCGCAGTGGTTTCTCCTCAGCTCAGAAACCACTGCCAGCAGGGTATGGACATGGGTGAAGTGCTTTCTTACGGAGCGGACTCAACTACAAGTGAATTTGCATATCCGCATATCATGGTGTTATGTCTTCAAGATCCCCATGCTCTGCTGACGTTCCGCAGGCTCCATCATTTCCTCAACTGTATTCAATATTCATATAAATGTTTTGGAAGACACTTTAAACAAACAACGATCCCACAAATGCGCACAAGTACGCGGATGACTCCACCATTGATTAGTCGTCTTAATTGGGCCAATGATAATAAAATGAGGTAAATCCAAAGAAAACAAAGGACATGTGGATCAGTTTTTACCAATCTTCTCTTGAACCTCCACCCATACAAACAGACGGAATTGAAATAGAAAGAGTGAACATCTTCAAACTTCTTGGTGTATGCATGCAAAACGACTTAAAGTGGAACATCCATGCATGTTCGCAAAATTACAAAAGAGCGAATAAATTATTGTTCCTTCTTCAAAATCGTAGGAAATCCTCCCTACCAACTGGGATTGGGCTACTGATATACACGACAAAGATTTGGCCAATACTTGAACACGCTTCGCCAGTTTTGGGGGTGGGGAAGGGGGGGGGAAGGAATCCCCTAAATATCTTGAAACAGAAATTGAACGCGTTCAACAGAGAAATTTGAGAATCCTTGAAACTGAAGAAAGCTACCCTCCGCTCACTAGAAGAAGGAAGGGAAAAGGCAACATGCAACGAGCTGAAAAGAATCGTGGAAGTACCAAACAACCCATGGAACCGTTGACTAGCCAATAGTAGGGAGCTTAAGATGCACCAAATCTGCGACGCGAACGCGACTAAAAAACAGTCGCTATTAATGGGAGACTAGTTTTACTTAGTTTCTCTTGTGTCCCTGACTTTGTTTACCAAAAACAATCCGGCTGTAGCTTTTACCTGTGAAGTGAAACTGTGATAATAGCGGCAGTTTTTCGTCACGTCCGCGTTGTAGTCTTGGTGTATCTTAAGCCCCCTAGAAAGAATCAAACTTACGAACTGAGGAAGATTAGAGACAGCTTTCCAGGACAGTCCTCAAATACACACAGCCCATAGTACGTCTTTTATTTCAAGGGCGTGTACATTATAAAATTAATGAATGATATGATTTTTACTGCATGTAATAATTATATTTAAATAGTTTTTTAACTTCAAATTTTTTACACGTTTCTTTAGGCTTATACATATATATGTATTTATATATTTTGCATTGTAAATCCATTTTATTTCTATGCCAAAGATGAATATTAATTAAAATTATATAAAAGTATTAAAAAATGCCTTATGTGTACAGAAACGTAGCCCTTCTGCTATATAGCGTTAACGACCTTATCTGCCTGATAGGGTAACCCTATACTCCGAGGGTACACCAATTAAGCGCGCATGTAAACACAACCGCGCAAACACAATAGACTAATGTAATCCGCTTACTAGGGTTAACCCTTCTGCTAGCATTACCCTATTTCCATGTTCTGCTAGCATTACCCTAGTTCCAGGTCTTTAATATTTGTTACCCTTGTTGCGAGCTCACGGCGTCAGCGCGTGGATAAGAACTGTATATCAATTTTAAATGACGTCTCATTATTAAATTTCATTCATGCACTCAACTTAAAATCTGATTTTTTCTCCTTTCTTTTGAAAAAAGATATCATGAGAGAAATCTTGGTTCTGGTTTCAAGTTGGTAAATGGCTACATGACCAGTTCAGGAAATGCTAAATTGAAGATGAAGATTACAACTAAATAAACATTTCATTGATATAACCTAATCAGTGGCGTAGCCAGAACGATAATTGGGGGGGGGCATATTCATATATTCGTGTTCTGCTTCATTAATTTCTTTTCAAATCAATTGTTTTTATGATATGTGAACACGAATATATTAATATGACC